TGCAAATGTATATGTGTACTATACACCTCACCTAAGAAATTAGACTACAGCTGCTATACTCTTTACCCTTGACCATAGCTAGCCAAATAATGCTGATCAGGAAGTTTTTGGAACTGCTTTGCTCATGACCTGTTGGATCCGGTGGTGTCAGAGATATAACGGTGCTGAAAATACAGGATGTGGGTTATGTAAGTAGCCAACATCCCATGTGTGCAGCATGTAGCCTGGGCACGCGCAAATACCCATGAGCGGTGACAAGACTCTGTGCCTCCCCTTTAAAAAGTTATTTTGTGTAAAACTTAATAGCTTATTTTCCATTTCATCTCTATATGTAGTAAATAATTCAGTGCAAGGAAAAAAATATGGAACATTTGTCAATTTGTGCCTTATATCTTATATTTTCATAATTTTCAATTTTCTGTAATACAACTTGCACCGGTCACAGCGACCAGGAGCATGGTGCACAGCATAGAAATGGCTTCCTCTCTGGAGCTGGCGCTCTTCTAGTCACAGCTTACACAAAAATTACATTCCACATTCGTTTAACGATGGGAATAATGCTAAAGCCCCCTTCTAAGCGCCAAATAAGTCAAATCAGACTCCAAGAGGATTGTGTATTTGTGGCGAGTCTTTTCCGTCACCCTGGCCTTTGCTCATGACGGCAAGTTCTCATCATCCACCCCTCTGCCATTTTGCCCAGTGATGGCATGTTCACGTCATCCAGTCCTCAGTCCAGATTTTTACATGAGGTGACTGTAATGTTATCCAGATCGTAGGGGTTAACTGTCAGTATGGTTAGCTTTTTTGGGTAATTTTCTAGATTACAACAATTGAGACAATGTTTATATCATCAAATTTATTCTTGTGTGATGAGAACGAATTTGATGGTCATTTCCATAGCAATCACAGCTGACAATCTTGCTGTATGAAGTCCCTATAGCATAAGAGGGCATGAAGTATATCAGAGAAATTATGGAGTAAAACAGGTTGTAATCAGAAGACTAGTGAACAAAAAAGTGCAAAATCAACACATTAAATACTTTACATTAGCAAATGAATCTCTATGGATGTGACCACCATCTCTGAAAGTCTACAGACTGAATCTAACCCAACTTTCAGTAAAATCTACATGATATCACACCATCCAATCCACTTCAAATTGTACAATACATCCTGACCAATAAACTGACCAAACACTATGTCACAAAATTTATTCAGTGATCTAAATTGCTGTGACTAGGACTGCCTGAGGGAGGGTTGATAGGAGTCACACCCCTGGAAACATTCTCTATACGACATGCATACATATACATGGCATATAGAGCTGTGTCTATATCATGGAAGATTAAACCACATGCCTTAATATCTTAAAACACCAGACTTTCCTTTGCTTCTGTCTGTCTGGATTGCTTGGTTTCTCATCACTTTCTTTTGGCATTTGAGGCACTTGATGAGCTCAAATGTGAATCTGTGATAATAATTTATGTCTATTTCTTTTGCATAACCACTATATTATTTTGGAAATGACCCGTAATCGACACAACACTGAAAACGAAAATAATCGTTTTTACAAGTTTGTAGTAATACATGAACTAGTTATGACATCACAATAATGAGTTATGCAGTAATAACAGTACTTTCCTTTGCAAAGTCAACTTGGCGAGGGACTTAGAAAATGGGGACAATTTGCCGTGGATGTCAATCAGGGTTACAGTAAAATAAGGGTATAAAATGATTACCTTGACGTAAACTAAGACACATTTCATCTATGGCATAAGTGCGCAAATTGAAAATAAAGCAGTTACACAACAGAGAAGAAAGAAGATTGACCCATCTTTTTCTAAGTCCCTCGCTATGTTGAAAGCGCGAATGCAAACAAAATTATGACCAGTTAACTCATTCCTGCTCTGTCTTAAGTAGATCATGTATTACTAGGCCATTGTCAAAATGACATTTGGCTAATTAACAGTGTCTGCTGTTCCACATTTATGCTTTCAAAGGCCCCTTAGACAGTTGCCTAGTCAAGGCACTGTAAATTGTTAGGTTAGGTTGGGTTATAGGCCAGGCGTTTTTTAGGATTTGGAAGGTGTGAAATCTCATAGATTTTGCCAAAAGATGGGTTGGATTCCCGTAGATTTTAAAAAAATTACATGTTTCAAGATTTAATAGAGTGATTTATGGGAATTGGTCTGAAGAACTTTCTGTGCAAGAGCATTTCCGCTTTTCTGCCGCCAGATTTGACAGGACAATTCCCGGGCATTCGGTGACAGAAGACCAGTGAGGAATGTCTTGTTTTCGGTATTGCGTCTATTCTAGGTTGTTCTTATGACTACACAGTGGAAACAAAGAAGAAAAAAGATCTTAATAACTATCACAGTTTGATTTCTGAAGCCATCAAGTATCCCAAATAGCAAAAAGGGATAAAAACGAAGCAATCCACATTAGACTGACTGACGGACTGACCGGAAGCAGCAAAGGAAAATTGACAATTTGGTCTTTCGATATATAGGGGTATTTTGTTTTATTATTTACAATATGGATGTAGCTCTATCTCGCCAAACATACCGAGGTGAAGAGAATATATCCCGGGGGGTGTTAGGGGGCGAAGCCCCCAATCAACCCTCCCCTCGGGCAGTCACCTAGTCACAGCACCATAATTTGTTAGGTTAGGTTGGGTTATGGGTCAGGGCGTTTTTTAGGATTTTGTGAAGGTGTCGGTGTGTAGACTTTCAAAGGTGGCGGCATGTCCGTAGAGTTTCATTAGCCAATTCGTCAGCTTTTTTTTTTTTTGCTAGTTTTTATGCGTTTCTTTTTGCTATTCTTCTTATTAAGGCTGTTTTACCCCATAATTTCCCTGATTTATTTCATGTCCTCCCCTGCTAATGGATTTAACACATCAAGATTGTTGGCTGTGATTGCTATGGAAATGATCATCAGATTCATTCTTGTCACACAAGAATAATCTGATAATAAAAAATTGTCTGGGAAGTTCTGATTATCATAATCCAAAAAATAACTTAAGATGGGACCAATTTCTCTCTTCTCTGTCATGTATCCTATTCATTTTCAATTTGCACACCTTGTACCATAGATGAAAAGTGTCTCAGTTTACGTAAAGCTAGCCTAATCATTCATATGCATTTTTTTTTTTTTTTTTTTTTTTTTTACTGTAACCCTGATTGTCATTCACTGTAAATATTCCTTTTTTTGCAGATATATCAACTTTATGTTGTTGATTTGTTCTGCAATGATTATTGGTATGGCAGCTATATCCCCCAATTGGTTAGTTATTAGCATGGGCATCTCCTGCGCATGTTTTGGTGACATTGTACTTCTGTCCACAAACAAGATGGCGGTGTCATGAGATGATAACATGCTCTGTTAGGTTAGGAAAGGTTAAGAATCCCATATACAGAAGTGCTGTTTTACCAGATATGATGTTTATATGCACATGCACATATGTGTGCCATATGCCTAATCATGAGAAATTGGGACACGACTGCTGTACTCGTATCCTCAGCCTAGACTGTAGAGTATTTTTCTTGTGCAGGGAATATTACATTTTTTCATGCGCGGAAAATATCATTTTGTCTACATTTGCAAGGATGGATCTGCACACGGATGATGATACAAGTNTCACTATTCTATACCCAAGCGTTTACAAACTTCCAACATGCATAAAAATCATATGGGATACAGGATAAAAACAACTGGACAGATCATGCAAGAATCTTAGCCCAGCAAGGAAGAACTAAGAGTCGGCCGAAACTTCGCGCGATGACCTTGCAAAACACGGTAAGACATCATGGACAACCTTGCCTACAGACCAGACTAAATTGACTGCCAGGGCTAAGGCTAGACTTCTAGAAGTTCCAGGGCTCGGGGACGGTGCATACACTCAAAAACCTGTAGGGTAACAGGATTCAGAAAAAAATTTTTAAGATTCAATTGTGAATAGCAAAATGTTTATATCTAACACTCTCATGATTCAAGACTGCTTGCATAAGATATTACAAGGTTTTCTAGCCTGTGATGCGTGAGACGAATATAGGTAGTTTGTAGGTGATGTCTCGTTCCATGCCTAAGTCAACCAAAACTGAAGGCTTGAGCTGTTCTCAAAAAATGCGAGAGTACGTGGTGAGTTATGATCCTCTGTACGAAGTGCTGGCAGCTGCCGAGAGCGGACCTAGTTCCGAAAGCAAAGATCCCATGCATCCCGACATAGCGTGCTGAAAAAAAGACAAGTATCACTTAGCCATACAAATATATTATCTTCTAGTACATTAGGGTTTCCTTTTTTTAGATTTCATTTTTTAAAAATATAAGAACTGTAAATTCTAAAGATCATTCAAAATAAGTCAAACCACTGATGCCTCTCAGCATTAAAACATAAACACTATTATATTCCTGAATCCCGCATATGTATAAAAATTATATAACCTTAAGCCTGGTGGCGTGGGAGTTGCGCTAGAGTCCTCCTCTCCTCTCCTCCTCTCTGGTGTGTAGGGTGGGGTGAGGATACTTGCCGCCAAGGGCCACCTGGGGGGGGGGTAGTGGGACGAGTTATGAGGTGTGGGTGAGGGGTGATCGGGGGTGGGGGGCGGAGGTAGGGGGGTGAGCAGGGGGGGTATGGTGATCGGGAAGAGAATAATGGAGTGTTCATGTATAATGTGCAAGAGGCTAATGGTTACTTATTATTGATGGTGATGCGTCTGGAGTGATTTACCAAGATTCTTATACTTTTTTAAGGGAGTAGGAGGGAGGGGTGGATGGGGGAAAACTAAAAAAAACGGAGGGTAGGGTGGAGTGGGTGTGAAAGGGGGTGGAGGTGCCCGTGGGTGAAGTAGTGTAGGGTGAGCTATGTGTGAAGGTAGTGAGTGGTATGGAAAGGGGGAGCGCGGTGGTGTACCGTCGGTGTGTGGGGGGGGGTGCTAATGTAAAGGGGAATTTATTGGGTGGGCGTGTGTTTTGGTGGCCAGCGAGGCGGCGATATTGCGAGCATGGGATTGGCTTTGGAACTACTGTGCCTCGGGCAGGCTGAACAGCGACTGTGCGTACAGAGTCATACTCACACGTGCACTCTCCATTTTTTTGAGAGGAACAAGCTCAACACCCCCCCCACACACAGCCCTTTCAGTGTTGGTTAACTATTAGGCCCGCAAATGAACAGCAGACACTTCCCACTGAAACATACTACGCTATGTCTTTAAGCGTAAACCTGTCTCAATATGCCTATGCAAATGCTCATCTGTTACTCTTGAAATTGCAGAGAGTGTTAGATATAAAACATCTTCTAAATTGTAATCTAAAAATTTTTTTCTGGAATCCCACCTACGAGTTTTTACTGGTCAGTTATGCACCGTCCCCGAGGCCCGTGTGAACTTTCTAGGAAGTTTCCTAGCCTTAGGCCCTTGGGCAGTCAACTTAGTGCTGTCTGTAGGCATCTTCCCATATGTCTTACGTCTTTTGCAGTCATCAGCGCGAGAGTTACGGCCACTCTTAGTCTTCCTTTGGGCTAAGATTCTTGCAGTGGATCCAGTATGTTTTAATCTGTATCCCATAATTTTTATGATTTGAAGTTTTTAAAGCTTTGAGTATAAATAGTGAATGCATATGAATACATATAAATTGTATTTTTATAGAATGTAGTGATCACATAGCAAAGACAAATTTATAGCTTATAAGGAATTTGAATTCAGATATATGTATTGAATATTTCATTTATGCTGCAGACTGGTTAGACTGTTTGCTAATATATGATTATATAACGGCTTTTGTTTCAGAGTTGCAAAGCAGACTTGGTGCGAGAAGAGGGCTATAAATATTTCCTGAAAGTTCTAGCTGATCCATCAATGCCTGTATGTATATGCATATATTGCACTTATATTTCAAATTATTACTTTTTCACCCTCAGCTGAGTAAATCTTACGATCATTCAAGATTAAAGTGATGTGTTAGTTTTGAAAGTTTAGATATACAAGATTTTATTTTCCAATTTGCAACTATAGGCTGAGCATCGTACCATGGCGGCATTTGTGCTGGGTGTCATTGTATGGGAACACCCTGAAGGACAACGGGTGGCTCTGCAGGGATCCCTTATGCCTCTGTGTCTAGAGCAAGTGTCAGATCCACATCCACCTCTTAGGCAGTGGGCCACACTCTGCCTGGGCCGCACGTGGCACCATCACCCAGATGCAAGATGGGCTGCAACTCGTGACAATGCCCATGAAAAGCTGTACACTCTTCTCTCTGATCCTGTGCCAGAGGTAAGAACACTTGATTAAATATTGTTTGTAATGTCTTGACATTTAAAATTCTAACAATTGATGAAGAAATAATTTTGTAGTATTTTTAAGCATGAATAGGTTAAAGATCTCTCTCTCTCTCTCTCCTCCTCTTCCTCCTCTCTCTCTTCTCTCTCTCTCTCCCTCTTCTCTCTCCTCTCTCTCTTTCTCTCTCTCTCTCTCCTCTCTCTTCTCTCTTCTCTCTCTCTCTCTCTCTCTCTCCCTCTTCTCCCTCTCTCCCTCTCTCCCTCATCTTCTCTTACCCCCCCCCCCCCATAATCAATATTTAATTTTTCAAAGGTACGTGGAGCAGCAGTCTTCTCCTTGGGAACATTTGTAAGCAGTCTGGCTAGTCATGAGAGGACTGACCATGCACGTGCCATAGACCACACCATTGCCATAACACTAGCGAATACTGTCACTCATGACGGCTCTCCACTTGTCAGACAAGTAAGAAAAATAAACTACTTCCTAGTCTCAAAAATATAACTGTGATGCAAACAGCTGTGCTATAGACACACCAAGTTGATATATGTATTCCATAAGTGATTCTAATTTTGTTCTTTTTCTCCTTATCTTTTTTTTCCTCATATAACAGGAGTTGGTAGTTGCCTTGCAATATCTCATCCAGATGTATGAAAGCTCCTTCCTCACAGTAGCACGACAATATTTTCGAGAAGAGATGGTTGATCTTTCACCCCAGTCGTTGACATCTTCTACTGATAGCATAATGTCACCATCAAATAGCATCAGTCGTGTGTTTTCGCGGCAGGGGGGAAGACAAGTCACATCCCCTAATCAGGTGAATGTTTCAATTTTTTTTAGATAGAAATACAGTGTTCTTATGCAACTTTTCTTATGTTTATATTGTAGAGGATATATTTTGACATTTACTTCTATTTCCTCAGACATTAGGGACAAGTCCAGACACTTCCCTCACTGACTACGGCCATATGTCACCAGTAGGAGTGAAAAGGACAGCATCAACACATTCTATATCTTCCCTAGGTATGTTTTTCAATTGTGATAAAAAAGATAAAGTTTATGACTTGAAAATTTCATTAGTCCCCAAATGATTTTCTTGGGAACTAAGTTTTACCAACTGTGTGTATAGTATATTTTTGTCTTTATAGGTGTAGTTGTGTTTAGTTTGAATATTGAATATGGTTGTATTTTGTTTAAATATTTAATGTAGTTCACAGAAATATAGTTGTGGCTGTATATAAATACTATTTAATAGGTAGACAATAATAAGTCCGTGTATTTAGTTCCTCTATAATTTTTAACCTCTTGCATGTAACTAAAGCAAACACAGTGTTCACAATAAATCTAGAGATTTTTGCTAGCCCAGTATCCTGAAGATCATGTCCACACTGGTAGCTAGTTGGCACAAATGGATTTCATAATACTTTAAGCTATATACATGTCTACACTGGCAATAAGGAAGTGCAGGCCAAGACGGGATGAGTTCAGTTAACGTTTCTTGCCTGAACCTTTATTAAAGACTTAGTAAAGAAATATCTTACTCAGTTCATTCAAAAAAGTTTATTCAGTGAGAACACATAAATGAACTTCCCAACTGCTCCCTCTTGCCTCTGCCAGCTTACTTCCAGTATGGACATGAGAGATTTTGTGAAGATCAATGGAAATCTCCCTGGCCCAGCAGCCAACCCCCCCCCCCTCCCCAAAGCTGGTATTCCCACTATAAGAGGCTTATGCTGCATTTAGAATTCCTCATCTTGCTTGTCCAGACAAGTTGGACAAGATGTTTTAACCATTTGGAACCTTCACTTTCTCGTCCTGGACAAGTTGTCCATCTCATCCATTTCACCCTCGTTCGCAGCTGGAAGAGCAAGAAAGGATGACATCACAGTAGCATTTTTATGTAAACAATGACAGGTATAGGCAACCATAAGATATTGATAGGTAATTTTATAGCTCTTTATTGATGTTATCAAAGGATGTTTTTGTGTTTGTCAATTACAGGTAAGTTAATTATGCATCAAAAGAGTTGCAAAACCTATGTAGCATTTAAATAAAGACACCAGTATGATAAGATAGTGAATGTTTATTTCCGAGCTGGTTGCAATCTGGGTAGTGAAGGTCTTGGAGGTTCCGAATGCTGCGTCACTGTCCTGCTGGTCCTGGCAAGTTGTCTGGACAAGCAAGACAAAGTGTTCTGAATGCAGCATTATGGTGGGAGGTTACCCAGGGCCAATCCAGCATTTGCTGGATTGGAAAATAGAAGACTCTTGTGATACTGTATAGGACTCATTATACACAAGAATTTAATATGGCAGGATTTTTATTTAAAAATAATTGATCTTGTAGAGTATGAAATTTAGAATTATAGAATTAATTGGTTAAAGCTCAAAAGTAAAGAAAAGGTTAGTTTATTTTTAGTATGAAAGAGTGATTTCATATAGAAAATTGACGTATAATAATACAAATTAAAGTTGTGTTCACATTATTTCACTTTGAATCCTATAAATCTCTTGATTATAAAACAATTGTCATCATGGTAGTAAGCCAAAGCCAACTATGATCTAAAACAGGCAGTGCCTTTTGTAACAGATCGGCTGTTTGTGGCTTACAAACTTTGAACTGGAAGACATGTAATTAGGACTTCTCCACTCTGTCTTCTCCTTTTGATATACTGGACTAGCAGCTCCCTCTGGATCTATTTTGTTGAGGAATGTATGTGGAAAGGGTTAACATTATATGCTGTCTAATCTGTGCTAAGTGATATAAGGGTTTCTTTTACCACAGATAAATTTTTTTGATCCCAAAGCCTGAATAAAGCATTAGATATTTTAGCATAGACTAGCTTGATCCTTGTCATTTTATAAAAATATATGCTCCTATCTCATATGTCATGATCCAGATAAGAGGCAGCATGTTGATGGAGAGTACAGTATTTGTTTACCATATCAGGAGTATTAATGTATTTCATATTGTGTACATAATTGATTGATGGTCAGGCTTGGAAAAACATATTTGCTGATATCCAGATACAGGGTGTTACCATGAAGATGTCTTTTTTTCCAAATGAGGACAGTGTTTTTTATTTCCTTTCCTTTCATATATAGAATGCCAGAGGGCCTCAGGTAAAGGAAAAAGGTCATATGTTTTGAAATATATATTCATTTTTGATGCTACATATACCTGTCAGAATTTCATTTTTGATATTGTATGGGCACTTGTTTGATCTACAGTAATCATTAGATAAACCTGTTTTTGATTGAAAACTATTCCTTTTCTTCTCCTAGGGTGCAGCAATGTCTTTTCAGGGGTCAGTACTCTGTCTTATAGTGGAATGTACTGCAAACTGTGGCAGACACTTATTACTCTGGAACGGGATCCATTCCCTGCTGTAGCCTCAATGGCAAAGACAGTAGTGGATTATGGTAGAAGCAAAGTAAGTAGTTTGTTTCACTGTTTGATTATTATTTTCATAGATTATTGTTTTTATTTCTTTTTACTGAATTATCTAATCTGTTTTTGTTTTTTTCAGTATTTGAATAAAAAAAAGCAAGTTGTAAGTAGTTTGTTTCACTGTTTGATTAACATTTTCAGATTTTTTTTCTTTCTTTCTTTTTTCTTTTGCAACATTAAATAAAAAACAAGTCTACATCAGTTGCCTATTTAAAGAATTGAATCAGTGGAGTGTCAAGCCTATATTTGCTTTTTTCTTTAAAAGTGAGACCAGATGTTTGCATTAGAAGGCTTTTGTGATATGACTTATTGATTAATTTATCTTTTTATATTATTTTTCTTATTTCTTATATTTTTTTGTAACAAGTAGGACTATAATAGATATGAATATCTTACTTTCAGGTCTTAACTGGCTCAAGAGACATAATGGAACAAAAAGTAGAATCTGCTCCAGGCACCCCAGTCAATAAACCCATTTTCATGCCGTAAGTGCAGAACACAAGCCTTACCCTTATATTTGTTATTTGCAAATTTTATCTTTGTGGTTCATTGTGAAATGAATATGTTAATCCTTTGTTGCTGAAAACATGTAATGTCCACTGTAATTTTGTTTTGCTCCCTAAATGCTCAGTTGTTAACATTACTGAAAGCAATAAAAAAATAGTATTTCTGAATATCAAGGAAAAGTTTAAACAGGTGAAGTAGTAATTGATTCCATTGTGATTAAGTACTTGTACTATGTGTAAATGCAGTTGATTAAACTCACTAAAAAATCACTAAAATCACAGTGAACATGGTATTAAGAACATGCCTTCCCCGCCAGTAATTTGTGATGTGTATAGACTGACATACATAACAAGTATGATACAAATAATCTTTCATGTTGTTCACTGCATATGATTTAACTTGAAGAAAGACAACTTTATATAGAATTTTATTTTTCTTTGTCTAACTTCCAAAACCTTGTTACATTTTTGTTGTAAATAAAGATGCGTAATCTTTTCTTCCAGTGGAGAATCACCTCCATCTACCCTAGAGACCTCTACACCAACCCGCTCAAGATCAAGAAACCATTTGAATAACCATGTAATTTTTACATAAACTTTTGAAAATTGTATATGTATATATGCATCAACTTTTTGTCATCATAAATTAGTTATTTATTTGTTTTTGTGATTGTATATAAGAGTGTTCTGATATAAATATATTAAAGAAAGATATCCTTTCAGATTTTTCCACTATGTTCACTTGGTTTGTGTTTTTCAACAGAGTGAAGAAAATGATAATGGCTTCATGAAGCCATTAGTAACAACAGAGTTTGTGGAATGGAGTGCCAAGACCTTCATTCTTCCACGCCAAAAAACAAATGATGAATTAAATTCTCCATCCTCACCACTACACGGTTACTCTGATAGGTAAATATGAGCTTGTGAACAAATAGACATTCATTATTTAGGAATGCATGGCTTAGCTTGAAATATTTTGTTTAAAAAAATAATAATAAAAGTAGAAATAGAATGGAAGTTTCATATTTCCCATTTGTGCATCTATCAAATATCTGTGTCATAAATTACAAGATATAACTTATGAAACAAATGTGATTTCTCTTACAGATCTCTAAATTCACGTCTGCTGGCTGAGTCAGAAGAACGACGTAGTGTTGGAACGAACAAGTTAGATGATCAGGTGTTTGTACATCGTAATCCAGGTCCTCCAGCTGTATTATTATTTCATCCAATCCATCCACTTCTTACTGTTGCTGATAAGAGTAATGTGACGTAAGTCTTCTATAATAGTTGGTATCAAGAACAGCCTCTATTCATATGTATATAGATATGGAATAGTTACACTATGTGATCTCACAGTTGATTTTATGATAGAGATGCTAGAGATGCTAGATATAAGAACATATCTTACACTGTAAGTCTGTCTTGGTGTGTGGCACAAATTTCACAAAGAACTATTATGTAGCTGTATTACTGGGAGCTAAGTTATGTTTTGGATTAATTTCAGAATATGGGATGTTGAACGCAGCTTGCGAGTGAGTCATTGGAGCAATAATAATGTAGGCTCTAGCTGCATTTCTGCTCTGTCTGTTATCAACTCAGGGACACCTTCTACCTATGTAGCTACAGCCTGTGATGATGGCAGTGTCAGAATATGGAAGGATGTGTATCAAAGCTCCCATCAAGCAACAAGGGATCCACCAATACTTGTTACTGCTTTCCAGGCTACTCTTGATATAAATCCTGCTACAAGAGGTATGGCAACATATTACTTGATATTTCTTCATAAAAAGGTAATACATAACTTGTGCATTGATGTAGCTTAACTCCTACGATCCGGATGATGTGACCATCAAATCATGAAAAATATCAGCTTGAGGGCTATGTAACATGAACATCCCTTGTGGGAAAATCTGGATGTAGGCCAGAGTGATGCGAACTAGCTAGTTTGGCTGAAGGCTAGGGTGACAGGAAAAACTTGCCATGAATGCATAAACCTCCTTGAGGGTGCTTAGACTCATATATATATATATATATATATATATATATATATATATATATATATATATATATATATATATATATATATATATATATATATATATATATATATATATATATATATATATATATATATATATATATATATAATATATATATATATATATATATATATATATATATATATATATATATATATATATAATATATATATATATATATATATATATATATATATATATATATATATATGTATGTATATACATACACATGT